CCTGAAACACCCGATTCTCTCCATGTCCCTAGCTTGGTGCTATGCCCAGGCACCTTCCCCGATGGACCAGGGATCTGCGAGTCCACTGAGGAGGCAGAGGAAGTGGGTGGCACCCACCAGGCAGAACACTTTTCACGGCCTGCGACACCGTGAGCACTCCAGGGGCTCGGGAGTGTCGTCCCAGGCGGACGCTGTGTTTTCTGGAGGTTTCTCCAGTCCAGCCACCTGCATGACGACAGCTAAGACCATCCAGGTTGCTGCCCTTCCAGGACCCTCATGCCCGCCTGGCCTTGGCTGCATGTTACCGATGGCAACGATGTGCTTGAGGCCCTGAAACCCCAGCCCCCACCCTCCATGAACCACCACCCTCATCACAGTCATCGGCATGGTGACAGCTGAGATGTGCTGCTGAAGCATCTGGGTGGATGTGGATGAAGCTGGTTTGGATGTAGCTGCCATCTAGCCCATCCTACACCTCCCAGGACCCGTCTGCAGGCACCAGGCGTGCAGCCCGCGGCCCACTCTAGAGTCTTTTCCAATGAGAGACCAGATGAAGACAGAGGCTCCAGTTGCTTTTGTTCTCTTCCAAAACTGGCCATCCCAGTCCTCCCAGAAGTTGCCCTGGTGATGCCTCTGGCACCTCTGGCCCCCACACTGCCCTGTGTTCCCTCCACCGGGCTCAGGGCTGGTCAGCCTCGCCCCTTGCCAAGAAATGGCAGAGCCAGTCGAGGGCCGAGGCACCATCCTCAGCCGTGCCAGTGACTTCTCCCAGGGGCTGCATGGCACTCAGGAGTCAGGACAACAGACTCTGCTGACTCGTGGGCGTTGTCTGAGGGTGGGGGCTGTGGCGACGCCCCCGGGCCTCCCTGGCAGAGCTGTCACATAAAGCAGTCCGAGAAGCTGAGAGTCCCCTCTTTAGACAGTTCCGCTGCTGCCCGGGCCTGGCCCCTGTGCCTTCTCATCACGATGCCGCACAGCTGACCACACAGCAGGTCTCCCTCCCGGGAGAGATTCTTCCCTGGAAGGTGACTTGGCTGTCCCTGCCTAGACTCATTCTAAGTGCAGCCTAAATCTCCCTCATTTCCAAGTTATCAGGCAAAGTCTATTTTAAACTCATGACCCTTGAGTCAGCAGGAGACTGAAACACGCCTGGGGCACTGGGGCTGACTCACGCCCGGTGGTGAGCAGCATGGGGGGCCGGGCCGTTCCCTCGCAGGAAGGGAAATGCAGAGCCAGCACCCGGCCCTGACCAGCCCCAGTCCACGCATTCCTTGTTACTTCACCTCTTGACAGCAACAGTCCCGGCTCCGTGGACTGCCAGAGTCACCGAGAGTCCAGGGTGGCAGGAGTCCCCCACAGGAGCCACCGGCACACTCCCTGAGGCAGAAGCCACAGCACCAATGCTGTGGGCTCAGGGAACTTGCCGATTACCTGGCAGCCCCGCGTCTGTGCCAAAATAAAGACACAATTCAGCCCAGCGGAGTGGACGGTGTCTGCGGCCAGCTCTGGGACCCAGGGGCAGCGATGCTGGGCACAGCCGTCCTTGCCCTGTCCTCTCCAAGCTGCGGGAGGCCCTGCGGCCCAGAGGGGCTCCGCCTCCCCTGCAGTGGGGCTCGAAAGACAATCCTTCCACAGACGTGACAGGAACAACGATGCCCTGCTCCTCCCTGAAGGCGGCTTCGAGAGCACTCAGGGGTGAGAGATGCTGTCAAGACCGGCCCAGGGAAAGCACAGGGCAGGTTTCCCAGCACCCACCACGCGCCAGCAAGCACAGAGTCTTCGCCTAAACCACCCAGGCACCGCGCCCTCCCCCTCCGCACCCACAGGAACCCGACTGCCATTCCCTCCACTCCACAGGAGACGCAGCGAGCACCAAAGAGCCTTCCTCCGGGACCAAGCCTGACACAGAAGGGGTTACACTGACTACTGCAAGGTCAGTTTAGCAAAACCCCAGGAATTTCAGCCTATCTGGTCTCTTCAGCTGACAAGTGAAGAGCAGCCACTGGTGGGGAGCCCGGAGCTGCCTCTCCCAGGCTTCTAAGATTGGAGCTGGGCCAGGACGACCCTGAGACACCTGTGCGGCGGGCAGGACTCCTGCAGGGCCGGGTGTGGCGCAGGAGCTGCGGGGAGGAGGCTGTGGGGCGGGGTGGGGAGCGGGGAGCTGTGGAGCTCCTACCCAGGAGCACTCCTTGCCAGAGGCCTTGGCATCACCAGGGAGTCCGTGGACCATGGAGATTCACAGGTCCTCGCGGGCCTTCTGAACCCAAACCTGCACTTTAATCATGTTCTGTTCTGCACACTAACATCTGAGAAGGACTGCACCAGAAAAAACTTGTAATGACACAATTCATTCTGAAAACTCACAGAAAAAAAAAGACTTCTTTGGGTTTGTACTTCCCCTTCAATAAAGGGATGGAATGTGAGTAGAGCTGCCCTTGTACAACCGGGCTCTGGGTCTGCGCTGCGTGGGTTCACTGACACCAGATTTTCTTCCACCCCTGCCTCTCCTGAGACCACAAGACCCATCTCTACTGTTCCTCTTCAGCCTCCTCAATGTGAAAACGAGGATGACGAAAGCCATTCGTGGAGACCTGCTGCTGCTGCGCGAGGCTTAAGTCTATTTTCTCCTCGTGATCTTAGTCTTTTTGCGTCTCTAGCTTGCTTTACCCTAACGGTAAGAGTAGAACACACGTAACATACAAAATGTGTGTGACTGGCTTTATGTTGTCAGGAAGGCTCTGGTCAACAGAAGGCTGTGAGTTGAGTTTGGGGAAAGTTAAAAGTTATACACTAGTTTTCAACTGCACGGGAGGCTGGCGCCCTCAACCCCTGTGTTGTTCAAGGGTTCGCTGTAATTTGTATTAAAACACCAAGCCCCTTTCCACCTGGGTAAGTCTCTCTCCCTGAACAGACGTGACATTACCCTCCAAAGACTCCCAGAGAGAAAGAGAACACTTCAAATTCAGATTTGTCTTCCACAGTATACTGATAGAACAGGGCTTACGTACGTCCTGGGCAAATGCTCCTCTCCTTATGTAAGTGAACAACTCCACCAACCACTAGCTTGTGTAATGAATGACCAAACGTTTACATATCAAATGGTGCCCAAAGCCCCTGAGAAGGGATGTGATTCAGCCCCTCCCCTCACACAGGCCTCGGAGGCCCAGGAGGAGGAAGACAGGGAAGTCAGCAGCCAGGTGAAAAAGGGGAGGGAAGCCCTTCAAAGGAAGCTCTCCAAGAACCTTCAATCCCAGCTCCAATTCCAAAGACAGGAACACACTCGTGATTGAGAGGATCAAACACCAAAGGCCTGTTTGCCTTGAGGGGGATACTGGGGAGGGTGGGAAAAGGGGAGTGAGGAATAGCTGGAAGCAGCAGTCCTATGTGGCACCAGGGGCTTGCTCCCACCTTGGCCCTGGGCACAACCCCGCATGGTGATTGCCATGCTCCAGATACCTTATCTTTATCTGAAGAGTTCTTTTGTTTGTTTGTTTGAGACAAGGTCTGGCTGTGTTGCCCAGGCTGGAGTACAACGGTGTGATCACAGCTCACTGCAGCCTCCTCCTCCTGGGCACAAGCTATCCTCCCACTTGAGTCTCCCAAGTAGCTGGGAGTACAGGCCCGTAGCACCATGCCTGGCTAATTTTTGTATTTTCTGTGCAGCTGGCTTTCGCCATGATTCCCAGGCTGGTGTCTGAAGGATGCTTTACAGCAACCCCTGCCTTTTCCAGCTGAGCCCTGCGGGCTGTCATGCACTCTATGGAAAGGGAGGAGCACGTTCTCCAGGGGCTGCATCAGGAGCGGTGCCCTGTGCACACCTCAGAGGGAGAGAAGACACCAACTGACTGAGCAGAGAAAAGAACAAAATGAGAAAAGGAAAAAGAGCTGCATACCTTGCAGGCCTACTGTGTGCAAAGCCCTTGAGTGACGTACCCCATGACCCACAGCACTGTGGCCACCCCGGGTGTGGAAGAGAAGCACCACTGGCCTCTCACCTCTCACCATCTCAGTGGGCAAGG